GTTCAAGTGCATCTGCGGGAGGTGTGTTTCCTTGTTCCTCGGACAAAGGGGACATATTTCAGGTTACGTGCTCCTCTATGGGAGAAATCTCTAGGAGCCTCAGTATAGTAGCATGCTGTTCATTTTGGTTTCTAAATTTTATTTAAAAAATCATGAGGCATATAATTCCCACGATATCTTTGTTATGATTTTCTTTGTATTATTCAGGTTTCCTTAACAAATTGAGTATTCTTATAACTCCTCAGTCACACCAAGAATTGCACCAAGTTTGCACACCCGATAGAGTGCGAATTATCCATTTTCCTAAACTCGTGGAGCATGTTCCTACTTCTCGTTTTACTGTTTCCTATATTATCTTCCTTAATCTGCTCTGGTGATTTTGTGGTTTAATCTATTCGTATCAGAGACCAATAGACGAGTATGGCCACACGTTTTCCAAAATATTAATTTTTTCAAAATAAACTTATAAATTGCACATGATTTGATCTTGAACACTTTAGGATTAGTATGAAAGATGTCACTCGCACTCCATTTTTTTTTTTTTGCCGATTGAGCAACATTTTTGGGTTATGAATTATAAATTCTCAAGCTTTGAAATTAGTGGATTTTATTTTATTTTTTAATAAATGAAGAAAAATGTTGATTTATTCATTGAATCCTTCGTTTGGTTGACGTTTTTATAATTTGAAAATATTTTTATCATTTTGAAATTACAATTTCGCTATCATATAATCTTTTCCCAACAAAAGCGCTTTAAGTTTAGTTTACTTCGTATTAAAGTGATATTTTCCATCCTGAATGGTGTGCCTGCGTTTCTTTGTCATGTCACCATTGTATTTTTTTAAAACTTATTTATAACTATAGCTATACGGAATTTCCTCTTCTAATTTTTTTAAATTTGTTTATTTAGAAATTATTGTCACGTGGACAAGAATTATATTGATATATGAACACATCCACACCATATATACAAAAAATATAAAATTAACAAAAGTAAAATAATAACTAAATAATAATCAAAAACTATGTACAATAAAAATAAAATAACCTAAAGATAAGTAAATTAAAACATAAAAACACAGTCATACCTTCTCTTCTAAGATTGACCTCTCTTTGTGGTAGCAGTACATAATTTATTTTAATGTTTTATATATTTATTGTAAAATAGAACTTATTTTCGCTTGTACTAACTATGCTATTATCAATAAAATAATAGTATTTATTCAATTATTGTATGTTTATTTAAAGTATTTATGTGTGGGTCGTTAAATAGATTTTAGCTCTGCAGTTTATTTTTCTGTTACTGTTCTTTTATATATAGAAAATCGAGGCCTTTTAGAACTGCGAGAATTTTCTTCCTCGAATAAAGACAGACGTCTTTTCTTGTTTTATATTTTGGACGTTAGCTTGCCTTTCTACAGAATAAACTTTGACTAATAACAATCATCTTTTTCAAACAAATAAAAATAAACGAAGCACATAAATGAAAATGTAAACTCACTAAATAATACAAATGATTCATTACAATATCATTATTGCTCGAGACCAGCCTGCTCAGTACCCCATCCTCCAAAACGTCGGCATCTGTCAAATATTTATTTAATCTATTTATTTATTTTTTTTTTTTCATTGCGTCCTCTATTCCTGACTAATTACCAGGATGAACTATTCAATGTATTATTTTTTTAGTTGATTTGATTTTTAAAAATATTTTTACTTTGTTTCAGGTAAGTACATCTTACTTCTTTTTCTGGACATAAAGTTATTGGTAAGTTTATTAATTGAATTTTTAAATTTAAATGTGTTATATTAAAGTTGGCCTACTTTACTAGAAGTGCCTTTTAGTTTTTTTAATTTATTATGCATTATAACTAATTTAATACAGTAGTAAATATTTTGTTCTTATCCTGCACAAAACACAGTACGATTATATATAGTAATATAGATATTAGTGATAAATAGGTATCTAAGATTGTGTGTTTCAAGTGATCTTTATCATTTTCAAAGTTAATTTATTGTCAAATTGGAAAATTCTCAGGCTTAAACAAAGATACCGGAATTTTTATGTTTTTGGTGGATTTTTTCGGACTTTGACATCATGTTCGTGTTCCTCGATCCTGAAAACATAAGGATACTAAATATCAAGTTAATCCGACATCATTTACTGCGAAAACCCTCCTTTCGTCCCACTGTGCACCGCCAACAGTAGGGGCTCTGACCTCGGTTCTGGTTTCACCAACCTTTTGATCCAGCAGCAGTTACTGGGAACATTTTTTGTCCTGCCGTCCTAAGACTCTGGAGTGTAAAATTGATTAGCTCTGTCTCGGTGGCAGAACCCGTTCATCAAGGGTATTGCGAATCGCGGGCGATGGAAGCGCAGAGGACTAGGAAGGTTAAGGGATACTATGGGGAATGTGTGGAGATAAAATAAAGATATATGGTTAGGAGAGACACCAGTAATGGCCATATTAAAAAGCAAGTACAGTATTTATAATCAGTTGCCTTACTACGGAATAAACTTTGACTAATAACAATCATCTTTTTCAAACAAATAAATGAATATGCACATAAATGAAAATGTAAACCCACTAAATAATACAAATGATTCATTACAATATCCACATCCTTGAAAACACTCTTCGACAAGACAATTAGGGACCAAGTATATAAGAGGAGGTTTCTATATCACTGTTAACCGTTTATTATAACTATTATCACTGTATAATCTGAACGTTGCCATATATAAGACTTATTACATTCAATCATCTGTTTAGCTTTAATTAAGGTGTAACTAATTGAGAAAAGATACGTTTCCTCCTAGAATGAAAACTTAAATGTGGCCTTTACTTATTGTAGAATTTTCAATATGTCTACTACATGTTCAATATTATTTATAATTGAATTCACTTAGGATTTTTCAATTGAACAAAAATATTCACTCATTACGCACTTACAAAAACCTGCAGTTTTTATAGTTATATGGAGAAAAAATATGTATATTTATATTTAAGATATTTTGTTGATGTACATAATATGCTACAAAAATAAGAAATCGTGGTCCGATAAGACTTAAGATAGGCAATACAATAGATACAGTGTGACATTAGTTTAATTTAATGGTACGATTAAAGTCTTCTGGAGAAGTAAAAAATAATTGAAGAGAAGGATAGTTAGGGTGTTCAGTCAAATTGAAGTGGTACAAAATAAATAATTTTATTTATTTTTACATTCGTCGACGTTTCGGCCCGAAGTTCGGACCTTCATCAGGGCTGCTGTACAAGATCAGTCTGACTTTACTTCTTGTACAGCAGTTCTGATGAAAGCCAGAACTTCGGGTCGAAACGTCGGCGAATATAAAAATAAATGTCCTTTGTTATACTATAATACGGATTGCTTTAGGTTCTGATTTTTTCATACAATCTATTTTTAATTTTTATACACCCATGTAGTGCATCAATTCAATCCGTTGGCTCAATCTTACGTTTTGTTTTTTTAATCTAAAAAGTTGAGATTTTTAATTGAAAAATTAAGATCAATATTGTTTTTTCACTACAAATTTTTAATCCGATTTATTATTTTAGTCCAACACTATTTGTAAAGGCTATTAATTGGTCCATCTGAATGTTTAGCATTGTATATACATATATTAGTATTGACGGAATCGTAAAGAAATACAGTAAATGCAGTTAATTTCGAGGAAAAGATTTTTTTTTCTCGGTTGAACACAATGGTTCATTATTAAAATAATAAATTTAAACATATGTACAACTTTCAAATGGTCGTATCTGTTTATTATAACAGATTTCGATGACCAAAATTGGTAGATAATATGTTTGCCCTATGTTTAGGGTTGATCACCCTAAATTGAGGTTATCCCCCCCCCCCTTCATGGGGTACATGTAAAGGACCAGGGAAGTAGGTAACACTGCAGCGACGGTGGCGCTGTATGCACAAAAACTAGTAGTAGTAAGAGAAAATGGGCGACTAAAACCACACGAAGTAGACGAATACTCCCCTCTTCAAGCTTAGGAATTCATACTCTGTTCTGCCATGGGAAGAGGCATGGAGTAGAACACCGTGAGACCTACCGGACAAATGGAGGTGAAGAAGTATTGCAGCCGGCCGACCACCGTAGCATCCAGCCACATCAAATAAACGATCGTAGAACATTTATAAGCCAAACCCCCATCTATATTGAATGTTTAAATATAATTATAGTTCATTAAATACAGTCCACTAAGTTTCTTTCAAATACCCAATCATTTGTTCCATATCATATTAAAAATGACGGTACATCCCATTTCACCCTATTTCATTGGTTGGGTTTATAAAACAATTTTGTCCAGATATAATTTTAACTTTTAATTGTTTTTAATTTTAATTTTACTATCGCGAAATGAATAGTTGTGTATTTTTAGAATCTCTGTTAACCAAATTGACAATTTTAATCTTGAATATTGGAATTACTTTTCCAGCGGTTGCCTTGTTATTTTGCGGCACACACTGTACGACCCTCTCTGATTGAGAAGAAAAATCACTGATATTTCATGCCAAATCAGTTGAATATCTCAAGCTTAATTAAGCCATTTGTTGAGCTACCTACCATTTAATGTTTATAACAACAATGAGATGAAAAAAAAACTTGGCAATGTTCTTAAAGTTTTGAAATGTGTGAAACAAATCCAACTAACAAAGGGTAGGATATAAATACAATATTAAAAGGGCCAATGTTCTCTAATTATTAATCCCTAAAACTAATAACGGGAGGACGTTAGGCCCTTAAGTAATTACCCTACCCTGTAGTTTATGTCGTACAGCTCGTTAGTATTTCAAAATATTGGCCATTGGTCCGTTTTGTTCCAAGGTACAGAACTGTTACTGGCTGGATGTGGTGTACTTCACTTGCCGGTCCAAATCTTCTAACATATCAAGACAAGATCTTCTGTATATTTATTTAAAAATCTATGGTTCTATTTAGTAAAACCTTGTTCATGACTTACCTTTCGTCCTGGGCTGGGCCATTATCTTCCGCAGTTGGGATCTAATCTTGCTGACGTGGCTTTCCCAAGCCTCCTGCAGGCTGAGGATGAGCTCCGTGTACGCCTCATCGACCTTCTGCTCCCAGGAACAGGTATCGCTCCGTGAAGGTTTACCTCCTGTTGATAAAAAAAGTATAACTTTTAGCCAAACTTTTTTTATAGTTTGACAGTTTTGTAATCATTACTCATTATTTTCAAGGATGGTTCTACTTTGGTAAGAGTTTTACAAATTTTAATAGAGGAAGGAGATGGTCCGGATAAATTAGATGGCGGTCATAAACAGACTACAATAGTGGAAAATTATTTTATTTCAATTCTTTAAGATTTCGACCCGACTTTGCTGATCTAGTAAACTAAGTAACAATATTCTAAACTGAAGTAAATAAATGGTTACAATCGTTATAGTAGAATAGAATAGAATAGAAAATAATTTTATTCTGGGACGAAGTCCCTTCAGAATAACAATAACAAAAAAGTACAGAAATTAAAATGTTGTATCTGGCCAAATAAAAACAAACATAAGTAAAAGTAAAAGTAAAGCTAAATCAGTAAATAAAATATTAGTTTTACATATTATATACAAAATAAAATTAAAAAAAAAAATCTATATACAAAACTCTTGAAACCTTGCCAAGACACTTAAGACTACGTACAATTGTAAAATATAAATATATACTTTTAGAAAAAATAAAAAAAAAGTCGAATCTGCTAATACGTATTTCAGTTATGAGCTATATGTAAATATATTATTATGAATAATAAGTAATTTTTCATAAACGGTTAGCGGGTATCTGACTGTTTTTGGCACAGGAATTGGAATAGGAGGGTTTTGAATGTAGACAGGGATGAAGAATGCCGAATTTTGATAGGAAGGGGATTCCAAAATTTAACAGAGCGAGCTATGAAGGAGTTTTGGAACGAGGCAGATCTGTGAGAAGGAATGTAAAGGTCGGAAGGTCGAGATCTTGTGGAAAGTGAGTGGACTGAGGATTTGAATTGGAGAAGGTTGTAGGCGTAAGAAGGACGATGATTGTTGATGATATGATAGAGGAATGTACCTAGGAAATATTGTCTTCGAATGGAGGGGAAGAGCCACTCTAACTCAGTATAGCGGTGAGAGACATGGTAGTATCTCGGGGCACCAATTACAAATCTCACGCAACTGTTCATTAATCTTTTCAGTCTGTTACTGAGCTCCACCGAGATTCCATCATACACCACACAGCTGTAGTCAAAGTGGGGAAGATGAGAGAGGAACCAGGTCTACGCGTAGTTGAGGTAGGAGATGGCGGAAGCGATGGAATAGTTGAGGTAGAAATGTCGTCGGAGATATCAGGAGAGGTTTTGATCAATGAATAGTCCTAAATTTTTGACAGTGGAGTAGAAGGAGATTAGCTGGTCACCAAGGTTTAGTATGGAAAAGTCGGTATAGGATCTAAGGAGGGGCTTGGAACCAATCACAATAGCCTGAGTTTTTACAGCATTTAACCTTAATCCGTTTAAATTTGCCCAGGCACAGATGGTATATAGTATAATATACAATATAATCTATTCAATTACGAATATGCTCTTACAGATCTCAAGGAGAGATTGGAAGAAAAGGATAAATATTATGAAATAATGGACATAAACGGATGTGAAGAAAGAAAATAAAAAATAAAATAATAAAAATGGAGACTTACAGTGTGTTAAGCAAGGAGCAGGAGCTTTAGTTAAAACTGGGAAAAACTTGTGTAGAACAAACACCCTTGGGGAAATTTGCTGACCTGGTCGGGGAGTGGTGAGGGGTTTAGTAGTAAAAACAAAACAAAACTTGGAATATTACAGTATCTAAAATTTAAAAATATTGAAGGGTACAAGAAAAAATACGATGTCTATGAACCAATAAATTATAAATATATACATATACATATAAAATAGATTTACGAAATTATAGATAGAAGTACAGTGTGAATAGAAACATAAATGAATGAAGTAAAACGTACATAGTAGTAATATGTAAATATCAAAATAAGAGACCATACATTGCAGAACTAATTTAGGAGTATAGAGAAGAAAGAAATATGAATAATTATAATTATAATTATAATTAGTTGTACATATTATGTTAAAATTATATTTGAATATTAGATAATATTGAGATATAATGGTTAAAAGTTCAATGAATATAAAGTAAAAACGGATGATCGTACATTGATCTAGAATGTAAATATAAAATTGAAAATAAAAGAGAGATAAAAGCGGAAATACTTAGAAATATTGAACGATTAAATTAAATTAACCAATAAAAATTGAAAATAAATAAAAAATAATAGATGTAATAAAGAAGTTATTTTCACTTCAAGATTTAAAATGTGCCTCTATGTTAAAGAAATGCAGTTTTTATCTACTTTATGATTTCTGCTCGGAATGATGGGATTCGGAAATGAGTATTTTTTCATGGTTGGGGACCATGGCAAGAAAAGAGGTTTTTTTTTCAAAATCAAAGGAATGGTTGAGGTTTAAGGCATGTTCTGATAGTTTGGAAACGGACGGATTCCGGGAAGTTATTGGAAGGGATTATATTTTTGATGCACTGAGTGTTGGTCATATTATTGATCAGATAAAGAGAGAGATCGGTGAATAAGGTTTTTCGCGGTATCGATTTTTAGGTGGTATGGGTGTTGAAATTAAAAATTAAGTAGTCTGAGTACGTGGATTTATTATAACAGTCAGTAGAAATATAGCCGTCAGTGTTTTTAATTATTAGGAAGTCTAAGAAATTGCTAATTTCTTTCTCTATAGGGAAACCAAGACGGGGTTAGTAAAAGTTAAATGAGGAAAGGATTTGAGGAATGCGGTCACAGAGTTAAGAACAAGGACGAGGTCATCGACATATTTTTTAATGAAAATGATTTCTTGATGGAAAGAAGGGATAACGAAGTCTAGAAGGTCATTAAGAACTATATTGAAAATATCAGATTCTAAAGAGTTTCCCATGGCTAGGCCTGAAATGTGGTTAAAGAATTGACCTTGGAAAGTGAGGTATCCGGATCTGCAACAAAGCTCAAGGTATGAGGAGAGGTTGAGAGGGTGGTGTGAGGTTCGATGATTGACCAGTTTTTTTGTGCAATGTAGAGGGTTTGGTCTATTGTGACGTTGGTTCGTGTCTATTGTGATGCTTTCGGCGTCTAGAGAAACCAGGATAAAGTTGTCAGGAATATGGAGAGAAGACAACTGTTCTTTGTGGTGAAATTATTAATGTCATAATGATTATTGTGGCTAAGTTTTTGGGAGAGGGTAAAAGGAATTTGCTGAGTTTAGCTGAGAGGGAGTTCATATTGGAGATGATGGGGCGGAGGGGATTATCAGGTCTTTGAATTTTCGGTCCATATAAGCGGGGTGCTAAGGAGTTGTAGTATGACTGACGGTTAATTTGTTTTGTCTCGAGTAGGTTTGTACTGTGTTGGTTAAATTTTAGTATTAGTGAACGGGTTAAGTTTTCGGATGGAATTTAGCTTTTAAAAAATTGAAGATGTCAGGACAACTGGATTCGGTGGAATCAATGTGACGTATTTGGAAAACCAAAAGATGAAGGTGATAAAGACGGAGTAGGCGAATGAAGTGAAACGACCTGTGAAGCTATGGTGAAACCTGAGGTGCGGATCTGTTACCTTGGAGTCTGGAACTACGGTTCCGTTCTAACCCTGAAAAAGATGTGAAAATACGGGGGGGGGGGAAGTGTTGCTTATTGCAGATAAATTATTTATTCTGTTTCATCGGCCATAGATCGTGCCTGGGGTCGGGAGACTCCTGGGGCACATCCAGCCTCTATATAGTGGTACCCTTAATTAAATAATTGCTCAAGGAGGAAAACCTGGCGGTTGTGAGTGATCTTTGTCTAATCACCTCCTTGCACAACCTTAGACCAAGAAACAGTACATTTACTAAATAATACTGATTTCTAGTGGTACATGTATTTTTAGTTTGTTGAGATTTTTAATGTTAACAACCTTCATTGCAAACAGGTCATTTTGTTTACTTTATTTTTATGTTTGATTTATTTTCGATGCTCGCTGCCTCTTCTCCGAGAGATATTGCTTAAACAATCAATTTGTTTGCGTCTTGCATCATTGTTTCTGACCTTGGCGCTGAGACTATCATTTATGTTGTACAAAAACAGGTTTGCTCGTTTCTGGAATGAAATCTCATTTGCAGACGAATATTGTCTACAGTAACAATTTTTATTTTATTCAAATTGTTTTATTTTATTTGTCTTAATCCATAGTTAATTTTTAAATTGTGGTCTCTTTCTCTCAGTTTCTCTCACTCCGTTATAATAAACATTTAATTATTTTATCATACTTAATGCAGTTATTGAACCTAAAAACGAAATTGTTTTTTGTGGAGAGGAAATATGTTTTTTTTTAAAAAAAGAAGTAATATATGAAAAATCTATAAACTTTATTTATTTTGTAATTATTAAGTATTTTTGTTACTTTTACTTGACTATATATGTAATGTATAGTAAGGGAAAGTATTGCAATCGTGAAAATTTTCGAATCTGAGTTTTCAACGGAAATACACGTTTTGAGGTTCCCTGAGTTCAAATAACCAAGTCCTACAAAATTGTGTATTTAAGGTTTTTATATATTTCCACTTTATATCAAGGGGTGAAACAGAATTTTCTCAAAGATGGCTTCAACAATTTTGATTAAATTCGGTATATTGTCGTATAATTATAATTAAATGTTCTTTAATATCATTCCCATTCATGTCATTATAGGGCCCATTGTTCATATATTTTAATATGAATTATTAAACAAATAACTCTCTTTTATCGACAGTAACCATAAAAATGGCTCAATATAAATTTTGAAAGAATACGATAATTGGAAACTTAAGAAGAAAAGAAAAATGCTTATCCAGGTTAAAAATGATTCTTCGGAAATTACAATCAGGATGTATACGTATAATATATCGTTGGGAAGAAGAGAATTTTAGAAAAAATAATATGAAATAAATAAAGTTGTAGAAGGTGACGAAAATAATATAAATAATAATTTCAGAAAACTTACATTATTTAACGTAAATAACAGGTTTCCAAAAAAATTAAATGTAAACTTTTAAATGTTTTT